CGTCTCAGAATGAAGGTTATTTTTTTTGCTCGTGTGTATATATGAGGAAAGTAATAATTCAATTTCGCAATCGACAGTCTAAATGGCTTGACAAATTTTGACATTTAGGTCTGTCTTAGCAGTACTAGTGTCACTGGGTACATTGAAATTTTATGAAATGAAAATGGCGGCCTTTAATCGAAAATTGCAAATTTGAAGTTTCTCTTTCACGATCTATAGTCTAAACCGCGTGATGGATTTGGAAATTTGAGGTGACCTTAGATTCATCTTGATAGCACAAATAAAACTTCCTCTCTTTTCAGTGTTTGAAGCCAGGTTGTTCTTTTGTTTAAAAATGTACTTATGTTTGTTCTTATGACCTTTCGTACCTCAGAGAATGTCATAGATTCTGGATACCTTAAACCAAAAAATTATATGGAACCCATTATCTACCCTGCTACGCTTTATTATACTGGAGAATTGAACAGCTACTGCCGTTAGTCTTTATTTACAAGCATTGTATCAAGAAACGGTAATTCCATCTCAAGTACCCACTAGGATATCGATTTCATATACAGTAAACAGCTACTCTTCACTAATGGAGAGCCTCTATTTGAAGTAGCAATTGCTCGTTAACTCACATTTATTATGAAGACTGAGCCGTATACATCATCATTACGGACAGAATTTTCCAATAAGTAACTTTCCAGTGGAAAATGATTATTGATATTACCTCTATAGCATTATTTATTGAATTAGAAAGTTTCGGAGCACTCCAGGTGTCATTTTATACCTACTTCTATTCAAGGTATACAGCACGTATGCAACCTGATAGCAGTTATATTGTTTTTATCTTAAAGAGATGACGAATCCATGCCAAAGGTGGTTGATGTAATAATTAGAGAGCTAATAATATAATACCCTATATTCTTTAATAAATGGCGTTCACTTTCTGTGGCCGTCTTAAGACAAATGTTACTTGTTTGGCTACCAAAATTCAATTACATTGAAAAATACTGATAATAAAGCCAACATATGGCCAAAGGAAGCATGAAAGTGTCAGATGAAATCAAATATTCCTTCATATTTACAGGTACGCTACGCGTTTTTTGAACAGCTGTTAGGGAATATACGTTTCAGCCCTGCTGTTGTTTTTCAGTAATCTCTATACACAACATAAAACACATAGACGAATAGTGGTAATAATACTCCTTCAGACAAGCTACTGAAAAAAGGGACATGCTACTGAAAAAAGGGACATGCGATGATAAGCCAGTCCTTTACTGCTCTGTTATTCACATTTTCTCTTCTATTCACTATTCTGCTACACTAGATCAATTTCCAAGGATTCGTATTCCCTTACACGTGGTATGTCGCCAATGCAGAATACTTGGGGTCGGTCTTTCCGGGTAAATTAATATTCCGGTTTCTAAGTGGAATAAGCCGAAGCATCTATCGATTTTTTGTAAGCAGTAGCGGAATTTCAGCGAAGCACCAGCACTCACTGTCGCGTGCTGTTGACAATGGAGATATCTTTCTGCAGAGCCATCAATAATTCAGTTATGTGGTCACCTGATAGCTGTGTTTGTGTTCTTATCATACACAAGTACGGAAATATTGACAAGCGGTGTTTTGTTTTTCGTTGTTATCATCTTAAAAACTGATTGTGATTTAATTACTGCGGCTTTCAAGATATCTCTAATCTGATAAAGTGGTATAATAGATATGTCCAACTAACTCTAATGGCCGATTCTTGTAATCTGCGCCTAAATTCGAATCAATTGTAAAATGTCTCCCAAATTAGAGAAAACTGATTTCTGACCCAGACACAAATTCCACTATTCCAAAAAAAGCGAAAAGGGTTGCATTATTCTCTCAAACTCGCCAAATCAAAAAGAAGCATTTGTGCCCTTAGGCAATTACAGAGCATTTGATTGAAAATAACTGTTGGAAAAAAATATTTTTCACAATTCGTCAACATGTTTATTGAGGATAGCTACAAAAACTTGTTTTCCTCTTTTTTGGTTAGTAACAAGTCGTTCAAATTAGATCATTGATTTTTATTCTTGCTGTACGAAATTCTCCTTAATAAGTATATTATAATTGCATTTTTTTTGAAAATTATATCATACGTCATTTTGCAATAGACCACGTAATTTTCCACTCCAGATGAAAAAAGAAACGCTTTTCTACGATATGTAGATTTTTCGTATTTGAATAGTATAGGATCCTAGGGCATCATACAATTATCCTTGTGATGCGTTCTGATGCAGAAAAATTTTCTAAAGCTGGATACGATCAAAGAAAAAACTGACCTAAATCTTTTCACGTTGCGCATCTAACCTTAACGTTCTTGTATCTTAACTTCTTGGCCAAATCTATCCTGCTACTCTCTATAAAAAAATTATACGACTGTCTATAGTGACTGATGAAACGTATCGTACTAATTTTCCTCAAGATTTCACTTTTCGTTTCAGTAAGAAATGTTTAACTTCTTTGTTAATGTACACAAAATAAAAAATTAGCATAACATTCAAATAATTCTCTGTATCTAATTGTATGCAGGCTTCCAACATCTGCGGACCAGCTGGTAAAAATATTAAAATATAGCGGTATAGATGATAAAGCGATTGATGACAACTTCATTAGAAAAATATATTTTTAAATTTTTCCATACACTCATGCGAGCCAAACAAATACAAACTTTCAACTTTATTACAAATAGAGTGGTGACAGTAGACTGAGTGTCTATTTGATCTAACTTTTCAACAAATTATGTTTTTTCTCGGTCCTTCCGTATATAATTAAAAACAGTTGTTAGGCTACTATTCCATTATATATTTATAACCAACTAGCTGTAACCTATAGCAACACTTAGGGTTACTCTTTATGTGATTTTTCCACTTTTTTTGTTTAAGACTTTATTTCTTAAACCTATTTACAGCACCAATACATTTACTTGCAACGTATAGAGCTTCTGAAAATGTAGGAAAGAACTGGCCCAAAATAAAACATGCGGTTTCTGTAATATCTGATTCCAGCTCCTCAACTATGTTTCTGAATTCATATAACTATATAATATATATATAACTTTTGTGATTATACGTCAAGCAGTTGTATGTGAAATATTATTTAATACAAAATCTCCCATGGATTTAATCAGGTCCACTGATTTCACAACCTGTATGATGTAAACTGATATTTGATTCGTGTCAATGTATCTGCAATAGAACCACTCTACCTACCATTAAAGCCGCTGCAACTAAATCTGCGTATCTAGAGATTTTCATATTTACCCGCAAGGTCTGTGACTATTACGAGTAGTTCCTTGCTGCCTGCATATCTGCTTACAAATACACTCATTACAAACGGGTATGAGGTGATTATTATTCTCGTAAATGCAATTATGTAGCAACGTATTTTCTTTAGTTGAACTGGAAACGAAATATTTATTTGCATACAGGGCGTTTACGTATTATATAATCATATAGCCAAGATATCCTTACCCACATTACTATGTTACCATGTAAGCACTGTTAATGATATTCGCATAAGATAATATACTAATAACTGAGATATTATTCAGGGAGACGTAATTCTTTATGAAATTCAAGGAATCTGGAGTCAGGAATGTTGAATAATAATTTGTTACTTTATTTATTTAAAAATCGCCTGGTGTCCTTAATTATAGAAATTGACGAAGTATATCTACTGACGTTCTTGGTTATTGTAACTAATTATATAGATGTTTGATTCACACCCATAGAATTTCCATTTTATGCTCTCTCTAATGAATCTTGCTCCCAAAAACAAACGCATAAAATTTTGCAATAGTCTATAAACTTAAGAATTCGAAGGTCACTGTGCTAAAATTTTGATTATATGCTGTAGAAAATCAGGACAAACGTTCGGCTTCAATCAATTAGCCTTAACTGATATTGCAAACAGTTGTTTTAAATGGAACGGAGCTAACAGGATGTATACGGTAGTCCAACAAAAATAAACAAAATCACATACTATACACAGGAAATTGTTATAAATGTCATGAAAGTCATCATCCGACAGGCATAGAGGGTCAGCCAAGGAGTCGCATTGGCGAAACTTGAATTATTGATTTTTGGGGCATTCCTGCAATATGCGCTTTCATTTCGTTATGTTTGTTTATAAAATATATAAAAGGAATCACGATCACTTATAATAAAAATGTATACCCTACCTCTGACTACTGTGCTACTGGCTGCCAAGATCCTTACGGGATCCGGGTGGCACAACGGCGAAATTCTAGTGACTGAATACTTTTTTAAGTTTTCAGTATAGTAGCTTTAATCCAGTCACATTTTGAGCACATACAAACGTGATCGTAAGCATTTTTCCTTGAATTACCGAAAATTTGCATTTCCCACAGTTTTGTGCTTTGAGATATATTGATATACTTATGCTCCACATATACTACGTGGTGCGTATGTTCCGTGTCAATATTCTATGTTTCTAGATGATACTTGACAATAGTAACGCGTAGCTTTTTGTAGGAACATACAATCATAGCATTTATTGCCCAACATAACACAGTGGCGAAGAAATGAATCAAATAATGTAACTAAGGTCAAGATAATCAAATAAGACAGAAAATTGTTAAAATTAACAATAAAGGAGCATTTAAAAAACAGAAATATACACACATGACAATGAAATATATCTAGACAAGAAGGATGATCCAAATCGTGGTTTTTTGACCGCCATATTTGAAAATGTCTGCTAATATATAGAAGCTGTTCGGTGCTGCCCCATTCAGGATCAACTCTCTAAACTTTACGATATAAATATTTCAAAAAAACGGCATTGCATACTATGTCCCTACTGCTTTTAGTAGATGTAACAAGACTTCTAAAGAAATGAAGCCTAACAAACGCAAAATATGTTGTTTTCAAAGCTTCGCCCTGTTGAACAATTTGCAAACATCCTTGACGAAGGCATATATTTCAAGCGCATTTAAATCTAACCCTTTTTCTCTGTTGTTCCAGGCGGAACATCAATAACTATACCATCGACTCCCGCGTGGTGGCTAATGGCGGCAGCGGTGGCGGCAGTGTGGTTAGCCACCATACGCACCACACTTACCCTGAGAAGATCCGGCACCACGCCCACCAGCAGGGTCAAGCGCCGCCTTCCCCTGGCATGCTTCAGGTAACAATTTGCTTGTTAAAACTACTTATCTTTACATTTGATTAACATATTACACTCAGAAGATACCTCACACAGGTGAAAGTCGTACCCGCACTGTGGTACTACCAAACGCTTATGCTTACAACTACTTAAGTGTCGACCAGAAATTTCTCCCAGGAGGTTGTCGATTAGACAGAAGGAGGAGTTTTTATGTATTGTAATATAAATGTAATCTCCCCCATTTTTTTAAAGAATAGGGCGGTAGCAAATTTTTCAAGGCAGGTATCAAATATTCGAAATTCCAATCTTGTGCATAAAAGCAGTGGCGTAGAAAAGGTCGGGGGGCGAGAACGCCCTTTTTGATACGTCTTAACTCAATCACAAGAAACAAAAAGAAATCGGGAAAAAATGGATCGATACTGTTAACCGCAAGCAGTTTTAGATTTTTAGTATTATTTATATTTCAGATGAAGTAACACATATTCTTCTTTTATCAGTTAATTTTTGGTGGGTATACATGACCAACATCCTTGCCGGGTACCATTCAGGGGCATGATAGTTATGCAAATTTCAGAAAGCAACTGAACTATAATAAGGGTATTGCCCCCTTGCGCCCCCATTTCAAGCGCACATGGTTTTCACCACTGTTTTGGAACATTTGTAGTGTTGGTTAGGGGACTTCCTTTTCCTTCGTTGACAAATCCTGAGAATACGAAATCTTAGAAATAATTACGAAGCAAGGCTCAGAAGTATATAGGTCAATAAAAGTATGTAATATAAGAAAACATATACAGACATCTATCAAAAAAATAACTTTGTTATACAGGCAATTAGATGTACACCCTGTAGAGCCCTAAATATTTTTGAAATTTATTACCAGATGAGCAGCGCACGATAATCCTAACAGTTTTCAAATAAGTCTCTGATTTAAAGAACTATTCCTCCCATGTTAGTTGGAACCGCCCTATATGTATGACAAAAGCAATGTTGGTGTACTGGCCAGAAGAAATGACGATAAGAACGTAAATAAATATCAAACAGCTATTATACGAAACGCGGTAATAGGATACAGATAGCCTAACTTTGGAGGCTCTATACTTCGGACAAATTTTTGGGCCCGTGGGTCTGCAACATACTGGTTCGAAAAAAATAGTCCAATGACATTTGCCATGAGGCTTCTGTTTTATCTCCTTATGCGAACGTCCAAGAACAGCGTAAGCATCTTCTTGGGGAATATGTTAATCAATAGGTTATCGTGTTTTTGTACTAGCGTATAGTTGTGTAAAATTATAATGTAATTTAAATTTGCAGATGCTGCCTCCACCAGCGTACTCCGCCCAAGGCGTGGCAACAGCGCCAACGGAAGCAGACGACGCGAACTATTCGTCGGCGACGACGGCCACGCCTTCGCCGCGGCCGCAACGGCGAATGGGGGGCGGGGGTGAACCTAGGCCCGCCTCTGACCACATATACTCCAGCATAGGTAAGCATTAGAAATTGTGTAAAGATTCCTGGGAGATGGTCATCTCCTTTAGAAAGTGTACCTATTAGTTTTGTATCCACTCTTGGATTTTTGCGGGGTTTTAGAAATCTCATGGTGAACCGACACATAACTCTGGTCTATTCAAAAAATCTCCTATACCAGCTTGCACTAAGATCATGCTGATTTGGCCTTTTCTATTTGCAAAGACGCTAGACGAATATTTCTTGTAATAAAGTTGATGTATTTGTGTATATTTTCACCGTTACTGTTTAAACACTTTTACATTATTGCGTTGTACGTATATTTACCCTAACTTGTTTATATGTTATACATTTTTCGGTAATTTCTAATGTATTTTATTTATGTTATATTTATACGTATTTTTCTGGCATGCTTGTTCAAACGCATATGCCTTTAGTTTCACATTGACAAGACTTGTATCATGTAAACACAATAAACTATCTATCTATCAAGACTTCAACATATTTGCTGGGAATTTCGGAGAAGTTAAGTAGTTTGACAGATTACGAGAATATAGGTTAATGTAAAATTTGGAACTCACTCACAACGGTGATCTTCTTCTGTACAAATGACGCTTTTTTGTCAATATATTCCAGTCTTCCAGGTGACACTTCGTTTGCTTTTTCTTTTCATCTGTCGTTTTTAATGTACCAGATACTTCACTCTCGTCCATCTTCCCGGAAACGCCAGGAGCTCTCCAAAAAACGCAAAAACCCGCCCTCACACCGGCTACGCATAACAATGTTCTCTACTACCTTAGTTTTGAATTTTCTTGGTCAGTGCCTGCCGCCATTATACCCTCCTTCCAATCAAAAAAAAGTATTTACATTCTGTAAACAAACCAAACTAATTATGTGTCCTTTGTTTCCAGACTCTGATTACAGCACGCTGGAGCGCGGTGGATCTGGGGCACGCAGGGGTCCGCCGTGGAGGCCCCCCCAGCACGTGGTGCTCCCGCCACATCATCAGGCCGCTGGTACCGCAGGTCAGGCCTACCTCGTGTGATAACCTCCTTGACTGACTAGGTATATATAGTATGTATATTTGAAAAGACTTATATATAAAAATCTTCGAGTCGAGTCGAACCCTGTATATTGTACTACTCGTTTTGTATTATTTTTGTACATTACTGTATATAGATAATATTTATTTTTGTTTTTATTGAGTCCTTCTTTGTATTATTATGTGTATATTTTTTACGAACTGCAAAAACGAATTATATAATAAATACGATGTGACAATTTTAATTCACTCTTTCAATTCTACCCTACCTCAAAAATTCAATTTCGTAATATAAAAAACGAAAGACGAAACCAAAGATGTAGGCATAAAAGCCATCGGAGGCCGACATGTGAGTAAGCAGAATGCTAAATTCGCGCTCGTAGTTCGTCAATCGTGTTCACCCTAGCTTTACATACGCTCCAATCAAAAAAGAAAGCACCAAGGATCTTGAAAAATGATCTGCATTCACTCGCGAAGCCCTTGTAGCATTTCGAAGACACTCACTGTAAATTAAAATAATACCAACTCCGATATTGCTCTATCAGTGTGCCATTTTTGTTTTGTTTCTTTAGCACCTGGAGTCAGTACTGATGTGTATCGCACGTACTTTCGTTTGGTCTGATCGAGGTGCAGATCGGACGAGTTTTTGTTTAGGTTTGATTTATTCTGAGGAGCCTAAAATCTCGGTAATCTCAAAACTTTGGTGCATGTAATACTAGAAAAAACTGCTCATTCTCTTAAGATCTATATGCCGTGTAAAAGACAGTTCTAACTTTGAAGATGGCGTCACTATATTAGCAGTAAAGAAATGATACTAAAAGTAATACCTATATTTAAAAGCAACGTTCGAATCACTACCATAACTTATCATAAGTTTCACTGGACACGGCGCGTAGCATCTGTTCGATATCCAACAACAACAAAAGAATAAAAGTATATTGGAAATCTTCCTAAAGCATTTGCCAATCATCCCCAAAATAAGTAGCAAATGATGTGCATGGTGATAGAAGAAGAAATAGAAATATTTCCACAGAAATTGATAACGCCGAAGTTTGGCAGGGGTAAGCCTTAGGCGCTGTAATCATAGTAACTTTCTGAATTGGTTCTTAATGTACTTTCAACCCTACCAATATTGTAGCTATTGTTTTTAGCTGCTTTGTATACCAATTGACATAGATGGCTTAGTAATTTTCATAATCGAAATATTAAAAACGATACTTCTATAAGTAAACATAACACCGATTTTATCATCGACCGTTGCATTGTTTATTGTACCTGGTTAAGCCGGCTACTTTTTCATCTAATTAAAAATTGGAGTAGCCGAGGTGATGTATTTAAGAACACGTAATTCCATGGAACCACTAGCAGCTTTTCGAATCAATTTTCCGTTCAAATTGCGGTTTTTGTGAAAAAAAAATAACGAAGTAGTTCGGCAACTTTTGTGCCAAAATCTAATTATCCCGGAGTGTGTCCATTACATAAATCCTTCGAAAAAGTAAACAGTATAGCAGTAATCAATGGGTTCGGATAAAGAACATTCCTGACAGTTTTTAGCATAACATTTATTAAGTAGCCTGTCGCATTTCACTTTCAACGGTTAATTAAACAATTCTGTTTTTTGTTATCGCGTTTTGTTTTAGTCATAATAGTTGGCTATGGTTAATCATGTAAGTGACCTTATTCCGGTCGTTAAAATTTGCTTGTTAACGGTCGTGAAATGGCAATCTTTAAGATTAGTTTTGTAAAATTTATAGCGAGATTAACAACCACAAAGTACAAAAGCATTAAAAGAAACAGACTTATTTCAACTGCCAGAAACACTAATGAAATTTGACCAAGAGGTAGTCGAAAATAAATTGAAATAGCATAACTAGACCTCACGATCTTCAGAGTTAATGATTCATAAAAGTCAATATGATTTGTAGACAACATGGATTCCATTTTACTTCCTACACCATTGGGCGAGAAAGTATTGTAATTGCGAAAAAATTCGAAAATGATATATTTTCTAAATGATATATGAGATGTATGTCATGAAAAACTATGCCATTCATTTACATTGGTCTGTCTGTCGGTGTGTCCGGTAATCCTTGGCACTTCTATTACTTGGAAAGTACTGGTCGGATTTAGATGAACTTTTCACTCAAGGTTACTACTACGCCAAGGACGAAAATGCTTTGTCGTTTTCGAAAATCGATCCAGTGGCGGCGGATAAAAAGGCCAGAAACGAAAAAAATAAAAATTGCTCAAACTTTGTTTTGTAACGTTTCAGAGATCATTTTTGAAAAAACATTTTGAATTTTAAGAATTAGGGCTGTAGAGGGTAGTCGATAAGAATATATTTGTACGCTCATAGCCTGTGCCGTACTGCTGCGGTGCTTCGGTGGGCGCTGTCACGTCTGGCGACGTTAGGGCAGAGAAAGAATGTGTATGGTCTAATTATATGGGCCTATTTGACTGACTTAATACATCCAATTTCTCTATTCTACATGGTCGTAACCAATTTTTTGCTAGAAGGTTCAAGTTTTTCTGAACTCAGTCCTTTATGCACTGACGATGGCGTTGTGTGGAAAGTGCGTAGTCAACCTACTGATGCCAATTTTTTTAAATACGATCAATTAGCGGGTAATTTATTTTCAAAATGCAGAAATATAAGTATAATCAACTTTACCTTTAATATCAAGAAGGTTTTTTCATTATTTTTCAAATGTCGGCTGTTAATGCGGTCAATGTGGTCCAGTCTGCTATTCCACTTTTTGACAAGGCGTCCTAACATTTCGCGTGGAATTTGGTTACCGCTTTTGCGTCATGTAATAACCCAGAACATCATTTGCTGTGCAGAACTCAAGCCCATGATGTTTAGAACATTTGACAACAAAAAGCTGAGACGTTAGTTGTATCGCAGCCTGTGAAACCATGTCTTTATTGCAACGATAATTAGACGAGCAGCCAATTTTTCGTGACGGACCTTGAATTAGCCTCCTAGGTGTCTAGACTTTTTCATTTGGGCCTCGGCCTGCATGGTTAAGAAGATACCATCGAGCGATTAGAAATCGCCATTCCCCGCTTGTTATCGCTCAAAATTAACTAATGCTAATACCCTCGGGAGTGCCACAAGGATCAGTACTTGGACCACTCCTTTTTGTTCTTTATATAGCTGATCTGGACAAAGTGGTAAAATATTGCAATAGACCTTTGCCGATGATTCTCAGTTATACAACAATTTCAATAATGACAAGATTATAGTCTGAAATAAATGGGGATCTAAACGCTATTTATAATTGTTATTATGCCATAACTTCCGTTTAAATCCTACGAAATCAAAAGTTATCATGTTTTCTCACAAAGAATTAAGGAAGTATATTAAAAGATATACAAGCATATCTCTGGATGGCGAAATTATTCAAGTGCATGAATCAGCTGAAAAAATAGATATTTTTGTTGATGAGTATTTAAATTTCATTCCACATGTAATCGTTGTATTACTAGAAGTTGTTTTTCGATATTTCGCCAGTTATAATTCAACAGACAAATTTTAGATTACAAAACTAAGAAAAGTCTATGCGAGTCATTGATCGTTTCAAAAATTACATATTGCGATACTGTTTACCATTCATTTTTAGATTAGGTATCTATAAAACGCTCGCAACAAATTCAAAATTCTTGATGTAGATTAGTAGAAAATTTGGAAATGTATGACCATATTCCGATATCTTTTCAAAAACTACGTTGGTTGAATGTTATAAAATTATATAAATATCTCTTAACAGGTTATGTTCATAAACTCCTACAATACCTGCCTCATTACCTCCGTTATTAAAGGAAATGCTAGTAAATTGGATGTGTTCATTCTAGAGATATCCGCTTCTCAAATACACGCATGGTCCATTCTCAGAACTTCATTCTTCCATAAAGGGTTCACTTTTGATGATCAATATCCATATAATTCATTAACCCCTGAAATTAAATCCTTGACATTTGATAACTTTAAAGACATATCAGGAATTTGCTTTTAGAATGTCGTCAAAATTAAAAGTACTTATCTTACACTTCTGCTAATAAAAATAGTATTTATCCAGTTATCAGGTCAATTACATTAAATATGTATAAAGCTTTTGTTATATTATCAGTCTTATTGTCATTTATGTGTTTTATTCATGTTTGTATTTATTCTTTTTTGGGTGAAGTGGAGAAATAGCTTGAGCTAAACTTAACAAGAAGACGTTTATTATTATTATTAAATTCACAGAGCATCGAAAATTGCAATACAAAAATAATCACGTTACCCGCACTGATGGCCAGCATTTTCTAAAAACAAATAACACTATTAAAATATTAGACGCGAAGATGTTGAAGTGGTTGCGGATACATTCGTGCTAAAATAATTCAGAAGTTAATGAACAAATAGTGAACACAGACCGACGTGCACTGCCACTCCAAACTGCTTGATGTCACATCACTCGATTTTTTTGTTAGTTTAGATTTATAACATACACACTGGCATCAAGTGGAACACCACGCCCAATTTTGGAGCGATTTAAATTTCTGTGAGACACTGAAAGTTGTTCCGAAAAATACGCCTCTTTCCAGCGCTTTTGACTTGCACTTTGCATCCGTATGTTATTAAGTTGGAAGATCGACATACTTAACACATTTCTGAATACTGTCGGACTTTAAGTAGCTGCTTCTATTTGGTAATGGACGCCAAATCCGCCTCTGCTTCTACTCTACCATCCCTTACAACAAACCAATTAGCGAGCTCGAGTGATAGGTTCGGTCCGTTCCACAATACGGTTCGTGTGCGTTGAGTGTGTCTATGCATCCAAGAAGCATCCCAAGATGCATCCTAGAAATGCATCCCGGCTTACTTAAGGGCCACAAGATAGTACGCTGCTATCACAGTATATCTGGTATAATACAGCAACCCAACAACCGATGATACGAAGAGATCGGGCAAGCATAAGATGCATCCATCTCAGTTATGCAGGGTGTTTCAATATTCTGTGGTCATGGAAGTACCACATATTTTTAGACTCAAAATAAGTCGATTGGATATGATTTACCTCCATGCAAAAATTTGTCCGTTAGAGGGCTTTAAATTTTTCCTTCCAGAACACATTTTTTTAAATATTCTTGGAAACGACAGTCCGATTTGGGAATGAAATTTAGAACGCATGTGTTTTGCTAGATGACTTGATGTTTACAAAAAATATGAAAGGGTTCGAGAAGGGCGAAAATTACCCCC